TCGAGGTCGCCCCGCTGGCGCCCACTGAGCGAAGCTTTTCCTCGTGCCTTGAGCTGTAATCTTCTGAAGTTCTTCCATTATCTCTCCTCCTCCTCCTGGCTCATTCCAGCCAGGGAAAAGTTTCAGCGAGATGTTTTATAAACCACCAGCAGAGGCCAAGCGTTAAAAGTGTTGCAGGGATGTTGTTTATGAAAGACAACAGAGGGAGCGGAGGGAGAAGAGGAGACGGAGAGTGATGGAGGAGTGACGGGAGAGGAGATCTGTCACAGCTGCTCAGACGCTCAGACTTGTTTTTTTTTACGCTCTTCAGCAAAGTCAGATGGAGGACGTCTCTGTGGAAACACAGATGTACACACGCTGTGTGTGTGAGTGTGTGTGTGGGCGTGAAAGCATGCTAGTGTGATACACTTGTGAATGCTGTCACGCAAGTGTGATACCACTTCTGTCTGTGCGAGTGTGTGCGAAAGTGTTTCTATCCATGTGAGGACCACGTTGACTCTGCTGCTGGCTTAGGTTTACTTTAATACATGTAGAGGTCCTCACAAGTATAGAGTAGAAACATGCGTGTGTTGAAAAGAGTGTAAATGTCACATTCAGTGTTCCGCTATCACATGTTTGTCAGCACATGTCAGACACATATATATCTTAACACTGGCCGCACTGTGTGTGTGTGTGTGTGTGTGTGTGTGTGTGTGTGTGTGTTTGTGTGATCGAAACACAGACACACAAAGTTCCAGCGCTTACTGCAAACAATGTAGGCTACTGTCTACACACACACACACACAGACACGCATACTGTCTGTACCGACACACACACATCAGTAAAGCGTGTGTGCAGTAGGTGATATTTTTTTCAAACACACACACACACACACACACACACATTGATCATTGGTCTGGAAACAATCTTCCCCACCCCTGTTGGTGAACCCAAACATTGTGTTGCCGTGGCAACCGGACAGCACACTGTACAGCCAGCATGTTTGTCATGTGGAGGGAAGTGTGTGTGTCTGTGTGTGTGTGTGTGTGTGTGTTCACATATTTTAGTGAGTGTACATTTGTGAAACAACAGAGAGAAGAACAGAGATGAGGGTTGAAATAAAAATGATGAATCCAGTTCATTGTGGATGAATTAATTCTGCATCGTCGCACTGTCTGGAAAAGTGTGTTTGACAAGTGTGTGAAAGTGTCAAACGACAGAGAGTGTGTGTCTGTGTGTGTGTGTGTGTGTGTGTGTGTGNTGTGTGTGTGTGTGTGTGTGTGTGTGTGTGTGTGTGTGTGTGTGTGTGTGTGTGTGTGTGTGTGTGTGTGTGTGTTTTTCCAGCGAGTCGGTCATCTGTGAGGTTCGCCAGCTTTAACAGAGGAGTCACCATTCCTGAACTCAGGGCGTGAGGAAAGTCCACCTATCTGCTGCCACACAAATAATTCACTGTCCTGTGGAGAGTGAAATCACTTTGTATTCTCTTGTATTGACAGAGATTCATTTAAAGTCACATTCAACCTACACCTTCTTATCCTGAATACAAATATAGCCCCGCCCCTGCTTCCCATCTTTCACACGGCCATTTGTTTACAGCAGAATTAGGGCAGAGTTCAACTTTGCTGAACTGTGACCTGGGATATTAGCTTTGCATTCACGTATATATGTGGGAAATACTCAACACCGACTCAAACACTGACACTGGCGGGCTTCAATAGATGACTCAAATCTAACAATGATTACAAAGCAGATAAGCATCACTGATGTCCCACAGTGACACTGATTTCATAGAGTTTTCAAAGGGGGAACGTCCCACAGCCTGACCCACATGTTGCTCTGAGTGCTTCTGTGATTTGTGCTAATTGCTGAGGTCGTCCTGTGCAAATCTGCCATGTGGTGTGATTCCTGCCAAAATGGGTCATCTGGAAATATCAGTGTCATGGACACTGGAGTTTTTTTAATCTTTTAACACAGCTCAGCCAGGTTTTTACTGCATCAGCCTGTATTTCCTTATGTTAATAATTATGGAGGCTGCAGTGCATTTTTGATGAGAGCTTGTGTGGGAGTGAAGTAAAGAGCAGCAGGTGGATACTCTGCATTCAGAGAAGCAGCCAATCAGCAGGTTGGTTAATATGAGAGAGGCACAGACTTTGTTTATCTCGTACAAGTCAATAACACAGAAGAAGTGACTCAACTAGAATCTGAATTTCCAACTCAAGCGTCTTTAATTGAAACTGTGGTTGTGTTTACTGAAGCAGTACTCATCGTCTTCATATCCCCATCAAGATAATAAACCTTTCTCCTCCCCGAGCACCTCCACTCCATCAGCTGACAGGATAAGTGCTTTGCTCGAGGGCTCCACCTTGAGGCAGGGGACGGTTTAACTCCCATCAGTTGTCGATGTACTATAGTGTGAGTGTGTGTTAACCGACAGCCTGTTGGTCGTGAGCTTCTCTGGGCCAGAGGGTGCAAACAGTTCTCCATCTGCTCTTATGAGACACTGATAAATGGGCTAAATCCTGTCGTGTAATGAGTTAACTCCTGATGTGTGTGTGTGTCGGTGTTTGTGTTTCACAAATTAATGGATTAACCTCTGCTGGGTCTGTATTATACAGCAGTTAGATTAACCTGTGATTCCCTCGTGTTTAATTAGATAATTAGCAGCCTGCTAATCCTGATGCCAAAACTACGTACTAACGTAGATCTGCATTCATGTATCGGACGTAAATATCGTTTATTTTCATCTATGTTTTTTACCAACGAAACAAAAACCATTTGTTTTGTTCTTGTCCTGATTTACCGGCTCGATTTTTGCATTTTGTCCCCTCGTCTTGTTTTTTTTTCTATTTACATGTGCACTGTATTGATAATACCAACAGAAGCTAACCGGAGTCTAACCTAAGCTAACCTAAAGTCTAGTGGAGCGGAGATGTGCCTCATAGCGAAACATTTTAAGTTTCAAATGTTCAAATGTGAACCAAACGTCACGAAAGGATCTCCGAAGACTAAATGATCACATCGACAGTCCGGGGGCTGTCATGGCAACAACTTGACTCAAGGGCACAAGACCAGAGAGGGTGCAGGGTGGTATTTAAATGTGTGGCGGAAACGATTCCATCTAACGATTCAATGTAGGTTGCAGGCCTGTGATCAGAGATAATGGTGTGTGTGTGTGTGTGTGTGTGTGTGTATTTCCCACCCTGTAGGCCAGATTATGAGTTGTCTCTCTGCAGCTGTCTTTGTGATTGCCTGTAGTGGATTTGGATCAGAAATCAGGTTTTGTTCCAGACTGGAAATAACAAGATAAACACACACACACATGCATATACCCATGGGTAGTGACCCTCTCACACACACACACACACACACACACATACACACAATGTCCCGCTCCATCGCCCTGTGACCTTAAATTGTAGCTTTCCTGCCAAATATGACAAAGGCCAACAAACACACACACACACAAACACACACACACTCTTACTGGAGGATGTGATTGTCTCTGTCTCTACACTTCATCGGTTTGATTGTTGGTGAAAATGCAGCTTCAGAGAAAGAAATTGTTTTCGTCCATCGTCCCCTTATTGTTTTTTGTCTTGGCACTTAACAGCAATACTGTAAAGTCGGCTCTTGTCATGTTGTGTTTACTTTAACGTTTGTCGTATTCTTTGTGTTGAGTTTCTCTCGGGCTAAACCACAAACCAGAGCCGGTCACGTGATTATCTTCACTGCCTCTCGTTGAGAGCGATAAGGTGCTGAAGTTGTTAATTATTGCAGCAGCAGCAGACTTCATCATCCTTTGGTTAAAAATAACCGCTTTCTTCCTTCATTGTTATTTTCCTGCTGTCGCGCTCTCGGTTCATTGCATCTGGACTGATTTCTTCTTCTTCTTGTTTTCCAGACTTGTCTGTGTTCAGATCTTCTCAACAGTGTGTTCAGTTCATGGTCAATTCAGCCAAAATGTGAAAACAAGACACAATTAATTACCTAAAACTATTTTTTTCATAGTTATTAGATATCATAACTTATAAGAGCAACATTTTGAATGAGGTTTTGATAAAATATGAATTCTTGGATTGGCTGAATTGACGATGAAATGTCCTGGTTTCCCACAAGACAAAAAAAAAAAGTTATACGCGTTGTCATTTTGTCAAATATTCTCTAAAGACAAATTCATCATTATGATTTAAGACGGCTCTCTTGTCAAAATGATTTATAGTGTTTCCAGCGACTGCCACGCCTCATTCAAAATTTGGCATTCAGTTTTTAAAAAATTAGTTTTAGAGCCTGATATCAAGGTTGGAACAGAGGATCGTCTTTAGCCTTGATCACTGTATGTCAAAGAAAAATCTGATGAACAGAGAAATACTTTTGAAGTCGTGAAGGCAGCACCGCCAGAAGAGCGACCTCTAAATGTTCCCTGATAACTAGAAATTCAAATCGGAAAAGGAAAATGCTGTAAACACTTGTGGGAATATCTTCTGCTGCTCTTTTCTTGTTTCCTCTTGGTTTTCCAATTTCCTGTCCGTCCTGTCCTCACTTTTCTTCTCTTCTTCCCTTTTCCTCTTCCCCTTCTGCTCCTCCTCTTCCTCCTCCTCCTCAGTAAAATCATCAAGGTGAAAGTAATCGATGACGAGGAGTACGAGAAGAACAAAACCTTCTACATAGAGATCGGAGAGCCACGCCTGGTGGAGAGCAACGACACCAAAGGTCAGGAGTGTCCCGGAGTGTCCTCCGTTTTGCAGAGGCTGCATGTTCTCAACACAAGGAGGCGCTCAGGAGGAGATTTACACTGAAATAATCTCTTTCCTGGCTGCTCCTGTTCCTCCTGACGTTTGCTTGAACATGCAGCAGCTTGTGGATCACCTCATCTCACCACATCTGCCCCTCCACTTCCCGAGTGTGTGTGTGTTTCTGTTTTTGTTGACATGCCAATGCCAGCCGACATGCCGTGTTGTTTACCATTGCATGCATTTACCACCTCCCTCTATGTGTGTGTGTGCGTGTGTGTCCCATACAGGAAGACCCTAACCCTTAGGATCTTAGACCGGGAGGTGTACAATAAGCAGTCCTCCTTCTTTGTTTGGCTCGAAACCCCCCAATGGAGACGCAGCGGGAAGGAACGGACAGGTGTGACAGCCAATCAGCACAGAGGACGCACTTTACCAGGGTTTTAGGGGATCCTGAGTCAACAGGCCAGACCATAGAAATAAAATTCATTGATAAGACACATTCATTCTCATGAAATATTTAATCATTGTTAATGTTAATGTCTTAGTGTTTTCTTATATTTCCCCAAATTCCTTGAGTAATAGATCACAGCCTCAGCAGAGTGATGCAGAGTAGGAGTGAGTCCCAGTTCCATACTATACAATATATAGATATTTAACTATAATCTGTCTTCACACTATACAAGTCAACACACGAGTGCCCATCAACAGCTCCAGAGACCAAATCTTTTGGGATGTTTGGAAAAAGGTTGCACTGTTTAAAAGTTTAATTTCAGTGGTATTCTTCATGCTACACTTAAATTGGCAAATATTGCCAGTGTATATTCATGTATGCATCTGTTAGCAGAAAACAGTTGCACGGCTGCAACAACAAATGTCATCAATGATTAATTAATTTCCTAATTGTGTTATGTATAATTCATCATCATTAAGTCTACAAAAAACACTGTTTGAAATTGGCACTCACAAGTTCCCAGTGCTGTTTTTTTCCAACCCATAATAGTTTGTATATTTTAATTGAAAATTTACTGAAGCAACACGTAGAGTATAGATTATAAATGTTAGTTTAGGATGTAGTGTGGGACTGGAACACTGTGACCCCTTCACAGTGAAGTAAAGTAACACAAGTAAATTTCAGTGCAGCAGAAAAGAGAAAAGAAAAGAGCGGGATAAAGAAAAAGATACAGAGAAGAGAGAATTTGACATTTTTGTTTGGAGAACATCAAATTGTAGATGTGATGCTTTGCTTGCACGAATCATAATTTAAACCAAAAGCCTAATAAAGAGCAGAGGACAGCAGCAACCGTACAAGAACGCATCACATGGTCCACAGGCCTGTTGATTTGGGATCAGGTTGAACACACTGCAGCCATTCTGCTGCTCCTTTCTCTACCTCTCAGTTTTTACTCCTTTTTCCCTCCTCTGCTTCTCCTCAGACGTCTGCTCATTGAACTCAGTGGGACTCACACCTGTCCTCTCCTTTCTTCTCCTGTCCTTCTCCTCCGCCCTTTTCTCTCGTTTCCCCCTCGTCCGACTGAGAGATTTTCAGACTTTAAGATCTGTTCTCTGCAGGTGAAAATGTCACCGCTCTGTCTTCACACTGTTCTCATACAGCTGGAGCGTGGCACCGAAAACAGACTGACGAGTGATGATAAGAGGACGTTCACTGTGGGTGGAGCTGTGATAACTTCCCTTCATCCTGTTAAAGAAAGCCTGTAATACTAATTAGGAATTAATAACCAGCAGCACTGAAATATCATCGTGTTGATAAATAGTTTTAGGCAAACTCCACAAAAGTCATCATAAGAAAAACGGTGCTGTCACCAAGAGGCTTCATTTGCATCTGATTGGAATATCAAACCAAATATTTTGTGCCAAAACAAAAACAAAACAAGACTCTTGTAAATTTAATTAAAAAAATTATAGTTTATTGCTGCAACAGTGATGCCAAGTCTTTCAGGTTGAGGGACCTGAATTAAAAACCTTGTCTCCTCTTTCCTAAAAAACACCTTGTGTCTTAATCTCTGCAGACTTATTCCTGATGGATGACTATTAAAGAACAAATTCATTTTTTAAAATTAATTAAATGATGATTAAAAAGAGACATCAGAAAAAACCGTTACCATAAAACCCACCAATTTCTATTGTGTTGCACCATAATGTTACACAACATTGTGGTCCAGATGTTGTGTGCAGCAGATTTACCCTCAAATCTATCGTCTGTTCTTTATGTACTGATTTAACTTAATCCACATGACAAATACACATTCAGTGATACTGCACGGTCAGTTGTAAAGCTGTGTGTGTTCACTGGGTGTGTATGGTTTCATGTGTGTGTGTGTGGGGGGGGGGGGGGTCCTCTGTCACATGCTGCGTCTGTGCATCTGTTTTCCATTGTGTTTATCCATCATCTCGTTGGAGCTACTCATCTCCCTCCTCTTTTAATGGTTGTAAAAACACAGGGGACTTTCCATGTGATGTTTATTACCTTTCACACACACACACAAACACACACAGACACACACAGACATGTGCATTTGGGTTAATAACATAACAGTTTTGTCATCTGAAAAGCAAATTGCAATTTATGTTGAAAAAAAACTATGTGATAAAAAAACACTTTTGATCTAAACATGCCCTTAAATTGATTTACCTCCATTTGGTAGATTCATTATAGCGCGCTCTCTCTCTCTCTCACACACACATGCACACACACACACACACACACACACAAACACAAACCGTGGCATATGTTTACCAGCCGTCAGCAGTGTTTATAGTGATGAAGGGATCAAAGATAAGGACTGGATATCACATCCTCACAGTCATGAGACCAAACACACCTCCGGGAATCACACACACACACACACACACACCCACAGTGTTTGGGGTACTGTGTGTGTTTAATGACTGTGGTGATTCTCTCTGTGCTAAATTATCCCTGCACAGATTGTTACAGCCTCATCCCAGCATGAGATCATGAACAATAATATCAAATGTTACAGGTAGATGGGAAACTATATTAAAGTGAAGAATCAGTTAACATTGAAAACTGAGGAGATCATATGAGCAATCAAACATTTTATTTATAGGTTTTTCTTTCATTCCTTACAGTTGAGATATAAAAGTATTCAGTGAAAGTTCTGCACAGAACTACTGCTGTCACTCCACATTGTTTGTTTCAGTAAAGGGCCCCCTGGTCCCTTTTTCCCTTGGTCCCCCAAAGCCCCACTAACACAACTAATACTGTGTTCAGACATTAACTTTCAAAGATGTCACGAAAGTTGGGTCCGGAATCTTTTGTAGGACTTTGCCTTTCAAATATGAAGAAGGCAGCAGCAGATTGTCTCGGTGAGATGAGATATTTGCGTACGGCCTCTCTGGAAAATCTCAGGATAGATCAGTGTTTACTGACGCTGTGCTTTCAGTAAATTAACTCCTCTCACACAGAGAGAATCGTTAATGTAGAATCCATTTTATTTCCTCAATACATTCTGGCCCAAACTAACATATTTCAAGTGGGCTTTTAGGCTTCCTGCCCCAGAGACAGCAGCTGAGAACCAACCAGAGGAGGCACGTTCACTCTCCAGCCTTGATTAATGTGCGAATGAGATGCTGATGCCTGAAAACAGAGATCTGCCAGCATTCAAGAAGCGCACGACGGAGAGAAGAGACTCAGCTTTTCTCATTGGGACCCAGTGAGGTCCTGTTTCATCTTCTATCAAACTGGACTTCAAATGTTAGTGAAATACCTCTGAGCCAAGATGAAAGCCTGATTTTCTTTTCTCCTCTTTCCTCCTCCCCCCATTGTTTCATTTAGCTGTTTGGCTGTTAGCAGAGGACGTTGACAGGATTAATGTGCTGACTCAACAAACACAGGATCTGACATTTACTGATTACGAGACATTGTGGACTGAGATGGAAAAGGAAATGAAGTGTTGATCAGTAATTTGTCTTGCAGCTGTTTGACGTTACTGAGAACAGGAAATAAGTGAATGGCGGCTTTCGCTGGTCGCAGACTGTTTATAAAGACGGACAAAGTGACAGCTCCCCTAAACTTGTGAAGCCAGAGTGTCAAGATCGCCACCTGATGGCGGGCTGCAGCATAGGCCATAAATCCTGCTCCTCTTCCATGTTATTGGACGGGACTTAATAGAATAGAGTGAAAATAAATTGAACAAAGTAGAACTAAATCAGAACAAGTACATTCACAATTAAGTCTAGGGATGTACTTGAGATATCAAGTGACGTGTGATGTGTTCAGAAAGATGATATTACTACTTACAGAATTATGGCTCAACCTATATAATATATGTCATAGCTTATTTTTGCAAAATATACAATGAGCAAAGAACAATGCAATGCAAAACAGAATAAACAGGCCTAGTGCTAATGGTAATGCAGCTACTACTACTAATACTACTAATACTACTACTGCTTCTACTAATAATAACAGTGATACAGCAATAGTACTTATTTGTATATTGTACTGTATAACATACGATTATAGAAAGATAGATAAATGGACAGATGGATGGATGAATAGATAGATAGATCAGCTTCACCAATATAAAATCAATGGAAGTCTCCCTCCACCTCACAGGTGTTCCATGGTAGAATGGAGCCGTTTGCAGGGAGAGAATGAAAAGCTTGTGATTTACTTTTCCATTAACCTATTTCATTCATGCTCTTCTATTTCTGGCCGAGTTCTCGTTCATGTCCTAGAATGTCTTTCATCAGCCTCCGGAGAGCAGGTGGGAACTTGTGTCCTGGTGTGTTTGCGCAGCTGTAGCCTGATATTTAGTATTTGCAGTTGGAGACAGATCCTCAGTCCTTTGACGGTTGTTGTTGTTGTTGAGGCGACATCGCTGTGGATTCGTCTTCTCCTTTGCTTCTCTAGGGGCTTTAGAAGTTTTCAGAAGATCCTGCATGTGTAGAGTTTTTGTGATTTGGGTGCAGAGGAGCCTCGGGACGGAGGGAGTCAGGGGAGAGTTCACTTGCAGCCGTGAACCTCCGTCGGTCATGTGGGGGCGGGGAGGGGAGAAAGTGCAGCGTGAGGAAGGAACAGCGCTGAGAGGGAAAGCAGCTAAAAACACACGCGCCCTGCAGAGGGTGATGACCCACAGGCAGGACTACAGTGTCCGACACGCAAAGACACACGCCATTAGAGTTACATACATCACAACATGTGACCACACGGGCGCACATATGTATCTGTGCATGAGTGTATGTGACAGATATTGTCTGGCAGCAATATCCTCTCCTTTTCTCTCATCCTCCTTTTCCTTGTGTCCTCTCTCTGTCCTTTGTGTGTGTGTGTGTGTGTGTGTGTGTCGTCAGTTATGCAACAGTACATAACATACTCATTAACGCTGTCATTAACTTCGACTGTTATAAAGA